CCTTGTTGTCTACGTACAGAACTGGAGGAGAACTAGGCTGCTCTCCCAAGTCGGTCAGCAGGTAGGTGAGCTAGCGTAACTCCTGTGCAGCCATGGCTCCTGCGTAGATCTCAGCCTCACAACTGGAGTTGAGAACAGAAGACGAGCGCGTAGACCGCCAAGAAACAGAGCCGGAACCAAGGCTGAAGGTGTAACCCTGTGACGACCGCTGCGTAGCCAGGTCGTCCACCCAAGAGGCGTCCGAGTGAGTGTCTAGTGAGGACAACTCGACCCTGTCCTCCAAGCACAAGCCCCATGCCTGATGTACTGCACAAGTAGCGCAGCACCCTCTTAGCAGCCTCCTAGTGCTCTCGCCGGTGTCTCCCGGGCGCAACGTAGCGAGCTAGGATGCTAAGAGGGTACGCAAGGTCAGGACGAGTGCAGGTCATCATGTACATGAGGCAGCCCACAAGCTCTGCATACGGGCCACTCGGCTCTACGGACTCGTTCGAAGGTGGAGCTGAGAGCGAGTGATCGATAGGCAGAGGAGTGGACTGTGGCGAGGAGAACTGGAAGCCGAAGCGCTGAAGGACCTGCTGCACCATGTGTGACTGAGTCAGGGTGATGGTGCGCCGTGCTCTGTCCCGGGTGATCTGCAAGCCAAGGTAGCTGCGCAGCTCACCCAGGTCTGTGCACGTGTGTCTCTTCTGCAGCTCCGACTTCACAAGGGCGAGTGCCTCAGTGTCAGCAGTGGCAAAGACCAAGTCATCGACGTACACGAGGATGTAGAACTGCAGTAGCGAAGTGTCTGTGCGCAGAAACAGCGACGGGTCAGCAGTCGAAGGAGCAAACCTAAGAGCCGCAAGTGTCGTCCTCAGTGTGTCGTGCCACTCACGAGGCGCCTGGCGGAGACCGTAGACTGGCCGCCGGAGGCTCCACTGGGTACCTGCAGGAAACGACCCAGTGAAGCCGGTTGGACGGCGCAGCCAGATCTCCTCGTGCAGGCTGCCCTGTAAGAAAGCTGTGCTGAAGTCAAGAGAGTGAAGCTCGTTGTCACGCTGAGCGACAACGTGCAGCAGCACCCGAAGAGTGGTCATTTTCGGGGTAGGGGAGAAGGTCTGGAAGAAGTCAACTCCCTGTCGCTGACTGAAGCCTCGAGCAACGTAACGGCGGAGAACCTGGCGGCTGCTTCACTTTGAAAACCCACATGCCATCGACTATATTCGCCCCAGGAGAAGGAACTGCGTCAACATAAGTGCGTGTGGACCTCCAGGGTGCCATCTCTGCGTCCTTGGCAGTCTGCAACTAAGAGTAGGGACCCGTGATCGCCTCTGCGTAAGAGCGCGGGGTCGGGATGTCTAGTGCATCCGGGTCTCCCTCAGGTGCAAGCAGCCAGGCCACGAGATGATGTATAGCAGCCGCAAGACACTCAAAGTCCTCCTGCCTGTCCTCAAGGACGTCCGTGCCAAGAGCATTCCCACCCCCGACGGATGGAGGACAGACAGACGCAGACTCAGACTCAGCAACAAGACTAGCGGCATAGTCTAGACGACACGCAACAGCAAAGTCAACAAGCTCAGCAACTAAGGCAGACGCAGCAGTGGACTTAGAGCAAGGCGCGCGCGGGCAGCGCGATTTAGGGCAGGGCGCGCACAGGCAGCAGGGCGCGCGCAAACAGCGGGACGCACCGCAGGGCAGGGGAGGGCGTGCGCGGGGCGGCGCAACGCAGGGCAGGGCAGGGCATGCGCGGTTGATGGAGCAGCGCGAGAGGCGGGGTACGATCGGGTGGGCCCTAACGAGAACGGTCTGGAACAGGACCTGCTCTGAAACCATGTCAGAATCTAGCAGCAGGAATGAATGAACTATGAAACATTTTGGTACATATACTAACCCTAAATGGGTTGTACCCCATATTGGCTACCCCACTACAGCCTACACAGCACAATATTCTGACAGAGAGTGAGAGACTTGAAGCAGTAGATGAGGTTGTAGTAGATGTTGTCCTTCAATGCTTCCACACACGATGCATTAGACTACGCCGCCAGTCTTGTTGCTGAATCTGAGTCTGTCTGTCCTCCGTCCGTCGGGGGTGAGAGTGCTCTTGGCACGGACGTCCTTGAGGACAGGCAGGAGGACTTTGACTGTCTTGCGGCTGCTGTACCTCATCTCGTGGCCTGGCTGCTTGCACCTGAGGGAGACCCGGATGCACTGGACATCCCGACCCCGCGCTCTTACGCAGAGGCGATCACGGGTCCCTACTCCTCTCTGTGGCAGACAGCCATGGACGCATAGATGGCATCCTGGAAGTCCACAGGCACCTACGTCGACGAGGTTCCCCCTCCTGGGGCGAACATAGTCGATGACATGTGGATTTTCAGGGTGAAGCGGCCGCCGGGTTCTCCGCCTGTCTTCAAGGCTCGTTACGTTGCACGAGGCTTCAGTCAGCGACAGGGAGTTGACTTCTTCCAGACCTTCGCCCCGACCCCGAAGATGACCACTCTTCGGGTGCTGCTGCACGTTGCCACTCAGCGTGACTACGAGCTTCACTCTCTTGACTTTAGCACAGCCTTCTTACAGGGCAGCCTGCACGAGGAGATCTGGCTACGCCGCCCACCTGGCTTCACTGGGTCGTTCCCTCCTGGTACCCAGTGGAGCCTCCGGCGGCCAGTCTACGGTCTCCGCCAGGCGCCTCGTGAGTGGCACGAGACACTGAGGACGACACTTGCGGCTCTTGGGTTTGCTCCTTCCACTGCTGACCCGTCGCTGTTTCTTCGCACCGACACTTCTCTGCCGCCGTTCTACATCCTCGTGTACGTCAACGACTTGGTCTTTGCCACTGCTGACACTGAGGCACTCACCCTTGTGAAGTCGGAGCTGCAGAAGAGACACACGTGCACAGACCTGGGTGAGCTGCGCAGCTACCTTGGCTTGCAGATCACCCGGGACAGAGCACGGTGCACCATCACCCTGACTCAGTCACACATGGTGCAGCAAGTCCTTCAGCGCTTCGGCTTCCAGTTCTCCTCACCACTGTCCACTCCTCTGCCTACCGGTCACTCGCTCTCAGCTCCACCTTCGGACGAGTCCGTAGAGCCGAGTGGCCCGTATCCAGAGCTTGTGGGCTGCCTCATGTACATGATGACCTGCATGCGTCCTGACCTTGCGTACCCTCTTAGCATCCTAGCTCGCTACGTTGCGCCTGGGAGACACCAGCGAGAGCACTGGGAGGCTGCTAAGAGGGTGCTGCGCTACTTGTGCAGTACATCAGGCATGGGGCTGGTGCTTGGAGGACGGGGTGACGTTGTCCTCACTGGACACTCAGACGCCTCTTGGGTTGACGACCTGGCTACGCAGCGGTCGTCGCAGGGTTACACTTTCAGCCTTGGTTCCGGCTCTGTTTCGTGGCGGTCTACCCGCTCGTCTTCTGTTCTCAGCTCCTGTTGTGAGGCTGAGATCTACGCCGCAGCCATGGCTGCACATGAGTTACGCTGGCTCACCTACCTGCTGACTGACTTGGGAGAGCGGCCTAGTTCTCCTCCAGTTCTGTACGTCGACAACAAGGCAGCCCTAGCCTTGTGTCAGGAGCACAGAGAGGAGCACAGAACGAAGCACATTGCTCTGCGCTACTTTCTTGCTCGAGAGTTGCAGCAGCGTGGCCAGCTTCGTCTTGCTTACGTGGACACGCGGGCCAACACAGCTGATATATTCACCAAGGCACTTCCGTCTGGTGATCATCAGCGTCACCGTACTGCTTTAGGCCTCGTGCCCACGTTTTCTCACTTGCTCACTTCTTGACCTTGCTTGTACTGTGAGCTGTATATACTATGCCTGCATGCTTGCACTTGCTGGGTAGTGATCACTGTACTGTTTGCCTTGTTCTATATAACTCTGCATGTGAACTGGCCTTGTGGCCTTTTGCTTGTGCTCAGAATGTGTGGTGACTTCGTGATCCACCCTGAGCTTGCTTTGCTTGTTCTTGACTGGTGTTGTGACCACTTGTACTCCCCCATTTGCCTATGGGGGTGTGTCAAACTATGTTAATGTTGTGTAGGCTGTAGTGGGGTAGCCCATAAGGGGTACAACCCAACTTAGGGTTAGTACTTGTACCCAACTTTCTTTTAGTAAAATCATTCCTGCTAGTCTGTTTCAACACAATCTCCACAATTACACGATCGATGTGTGGGTGCTGGCACATCGATCGTGCGAGCCAGAGGTTCCACCATTTTGGGCACCAATTTACTGTACACTTACGAGGTGAAGCGAAACCGGATACCAGCCTGTTGGCGATGTCGCAAATTTACTGTACAAGCCTGGATCGATCCCCACTCAAGATCGATCGTGGCTTCCTCTCTCGAGGTGCCGCGTCCTCATTCTTTTTTACCCGAATCAGTGTTGTTATTTGCTGACTTCTAAGGCCCTATCTACGCTTCGGAGCTAGCTGGAACCACGTTGCGAGCATCGCACTAGCTAGCTTGAATGCACCGCGTTACCGTTTGCTTGTTTTCGCTATAATTAATCGCTCATGTCTTCGCTCATGCTTGAACTCGTTTGCCAACTTAGTGCAATCCTCGATGACTCCCCGTAATAAACTTTTCTTCTTGTTGAAATAACTTTGCTGGCGACGTAGTGGTCATTTTCTCTGTTATCAAAATATGGGCCCTCTAAGGATGGATTTTTGCCTTATTATTAAAAAATAATACCAAATATATCGACCAAGGGTAGCCCCTGTCATACTCGTTCTGCTGCTGTATAGCTCTTATGGTTAACTTTAAGAAAAGATAGTTGGACAGGCTCTGTTGATTTATTCTCTGCCTCATTGATGGAAGTAATAATACCAAATAATTCGTCACTTGCTACAATCAGCCTAGCAATAATTTTATCCCCCTTATGCAAGTTAAGCTCATTTGACATGAAGAATTTACCATACCATCATCCATCATTTCGGTGTGTACGGACAGCATGGGCTAAGGCACAGATCAGCTGGTGCCGGTACATGAATGGCCCCATGGTAAGGGGAAAAACTAGGAGTGTCGCTGGGACATGGCGAGCATGTTGCGCACAAAGGCTGCCCCGTCACTGTCATTGGCCCGCTGGCACTCCCTCAGCAGTGCACTGCTGGGGCGAGCAGGAGAGAGGGGGGGGGGTCACACATGGAAAACGGCAGGTGGCAAAGGTGAAGGAGAAAAAAGCAAGGAGTAAGGGGCACAGGTGAAAGACAAGAGGACAGGGGCAAGGAGCCACGGCGAAGAAGAAAGGGGGGCACGGTGCTAAAGCCAAGGAGAAAAGGGGGCAAGGTTAAAAAGCAAAGAAGACGGAGAGGCAAGGACAAAGGGCAAGGGGCAAGCTGTAACGTGCAAGGGACACAGAGAAGGTCAAAGAGCACGGGGCAAAGGGCAAGGTAAAAGGGCAAGCGACAATCGGCAAAGGGCAAGGAATGGCAAGTGAAGTGAGAAATGGGCAAGAGGCAATGGTGACGTGGGGAGCAGCAAGGCAGCATGGTGCAGAGGTGGGGGGAGCAGCAAGGCAGCATGGTGCAGAGGTGGGGGGAGCAGCAAGGCAGCATGGTGCAGAGGTGGGGGGAGCAGCAAGGCAGCATGGTGCAGAAGTGGGGGAGCAGCAAGGCAGCATGGTGCAGAGGTGGGGGAGCAGCAAGGCAGCATGGTGCAGAGGTGGGGGAGCAGCAAGGCAGCATGGTGCAGAGGTGGGGGAGCAGCAAGGCAGCATGGTGCAGAGGTGGGGGGAGCAGCAAGGCAGCATGGTGCAGAGGTGGGGGGAGCAGCAAGGCAGCATGGTGCAGAGGTGGGGGAGCAGCAAGGCAGCATGGTGCAGAGGTGGGGGAGCAGCAAGGCAGCATGGTGCAGAGGTGGGGGAGCAGCAAGGCAGCATGGTGCAGAGGTGGGGGAGCAGCAAGGCAGCATGGTGCAGAGGTGGGGGAGCAGCAAGGCAGCATGGTGCAGAGGTGGGGGAGCAGCAAGGCAGCATGGTGCAGAGGTGGGGGGAGCAGCAAGGCAGCATGGTGCAGAGGTGGGGGAGCAGCAAGGCAGCATGGTGCAGAGGTGGGGGAGGCAGCGCACCGCAGCAGGTCGGGGTGTCGCTCCATGGCCGTGCCCGCTGCTGCCGCCTCCGCCAGCAGCGCGTGCGACGCGCCTGCAATGCGGCCGAGGGCCCCCAGGCAGCGCAGGCGGGCCTGCCAGCACGGCACGTCCGGCTGCACGCCCGCCGCCCCCATCTGGTGCCACAGCTGCTCCCCCCGCCTCCACTGCCGCTTGCGCACACACGCTTGCAGCAGCTCCGCGTACACATAGGCCGTTGGCTGCTGGGCGAACTGCCATGCCCCGTGCACACACACACACACACAGACACACAGACACACACACACACACACACACACACACATGCACACGCACACACACACACACGCGCGCGCACGCGCCTACGCACATGCACACACACACACATGCCCGCGCGCCTCCCCACACACACACACACACACACACACACACACACACACACATACACACACACCCACGCAAACACATACACACACTCCCACGCATACACATCCACATACGCTCATGCATATGCACATACACACACATGGGAGTTCCCAGGGGGAGGAGTGCAATGAAGGGCCAGCTAGGGAACTGCCCTGCACCACTGCCCTTCTCTGCTGCTTCAATGCTGACGTCCCTCCCCTGGAGCACTGCCCTCGCACAATGAATCATCCCATCCCAGGTACTGGTGAGAACAAAAGAAAAAACTGCGGCTCCAACACCCCAAAGTCGGTAGGAAAAGCCAGTGTGTACATCACGGTGATGACTCGAAGCGAGCTCCACGTTCCTTCTTGTTGCCCCACAAGGAAACAGATTCTGTGCGCGACCGTGGAATGGTGGAGCTGGTAGATGCAGTTCGACTCGAACTACATGGGCAATAGAAAGCCCCCCCCCCTCCATACATTGCTCCTGTCCGAGAGGAAGCATGTCGCATTGAATTGCAACTCTACAAACCTGTTTCTGGGGGTTGAGTACGAGGGAACACACTTGTGCTTGTGAGCAGGGCTGAACAATTACATGCGAAAAAAACATAATCAAGGAGAACCCATTCATCTAAAACAACAAGGGCTCAAATCAAACTCACTTCCGTTCATGCCCAGTCACAGCCATGCCATCACATCCATGCCATCACATCCATGCCATCACATCCATGCCATCACATCCATGCCATCACATCCATGCCATCACATCCATGCCATCACATCCATGCCATCACATCCATGCCATCACATCCATGCCATCACATCCATGCCATCACATCCATGCCATCACATCCATGCCATCACATCCATGCCATCACATCCATGCCATCACATCCATGCCATCACATCCATGCCATCACATCCATGCCATCACATCCATGCCATCACATCCATGCCATCACATCCATGCCATCACATCCATGCCATCACATCCATGCCATCACATCCATGCCATCACATCCATGCCATCACATCCATGCCATCACATCCATGCCATCACATCCATGCCATCACATCCATGCCATCACATCCATGCCATCACATCCATGCCATCACATCCATGCCATCACATCCATGCCATCACATCCATGCCATCACAGCCATGCCATCACAGCCATGCCATCACAGCCATGCCATCACAGCCATGCCATCACAGCCATGCCATCACATCCATGCCATCACATCCATGCCATCACATCCATGCCATCACATCCATGCCATCACATCCATGCCATCACAGCCATGCCATCACAGCCATGCCATCACAGCCATGCCATCACAGCCATGCCATCACAGCCATGCCATCACATCCATGCCATCACATCCATGCCATCACATCCATGCCATCACATCCATGCCATCACATCCATGCCATCACATCCATGCCATCACTGCCATGCCATCACATCCATGCCGTCACATCCATGCCATCACATCCATGCCATCACATCCATGCCATCACATCCATGCCATCACATCCATGCCATCACATCCATGCCATCACATCCATGCCATCACATCCATGCCATCACATCCATGCCATCACAGCCATGCCATCACAGCCATGCCATCACAGCCATGCCATCACAGCCATGCCATCACAGCCATGCCATCACAGCCATGCCATCACAGCCATGCCATCACAGCCATGCCATCACAGCCATGCCATCACAGCCATGCCATCACATCCATGCCATCACATCCATGCCATCACATCCATGCCATCACATCCATGCCATCACATCCATGCCATCACATCCATGCCATCACATCCATGCCATCACATCCATGCCATCACATCCATGCCATCACATCCATGCCATCACATCCATGCCATCACATCCATGCCATCACATCCATGCCGTTACATCCATGGCGTCACATCCATGCCATCACATCCATGCCATCACATCCATGCCATCACATCCATGCCATCACATCCATGCCATCACATCCATGCCATCACATCCATGCCATCACATCCATGCCATCACATCCATGCCATCACATCCATGCCATCACATCCATGCCATCACATCCATGCCATCACATCCATGCCATCACATCCATGCCATCACATCCATGCCATCACATCCATGCCATCACATCCATGCCATCACATCCATGCCATCACATCCATGCCATCACATCCATGCCATCACATCCATGCCATCACATCCATGCCATCACATCCATAGCATCACATCCATGCCGTCACATCCATGCCATCACATCCATGCCATCACATCCATGCCATCACAGCCATGCCATCACAGCCATGCCATCACAGCCATGCCATCACAGCCATGCCATCACAGCCATGCCATCACAGCCATGCCATCACATCCATGCCATCACATCCATGCCATCACATCCATGCCATAACAGCCATGCCATCACATCCATGCCATCACAGCCATGCCATCACAGCCATGCCATCACAGCCATGCCATCACAGCCATGCCATCACACCAATGCCATCACATCCATGCCATCACATCCATGCCATCACATCCATGCCATCACATCCATGCCATCACAGCCACGCCATCACATCCATGCCGTCACATCCATGCCGTCACAGCCATGCCATCACATCCATGCCGTCACATCCATGCCGTCACATCCATGCCGTCACATCCATGGCATCACATCCATGCCATCACATCCATGCCATCACATCCATGCCATCACAGCCATGCCATCACAGCCATGCCATCACAGCCATGCCATCACAGCCATGCCATCACAGCCATGCCATCACATCCACGCCATCACATCCACGCCATCACATCCACGCCATCACATCCACGCCATCACATCCACGCCATCACATCCATGCCGTCACATCCATGCCGTCACATCCATGCCGTCACATCCATGCCGTCACATCCATGCCGTCACATCCATGCCGTCACATCCATGCCGTCACATCCATGCCGTCACATCCATGCCGTCACAGCCATGCCGTCACAGCCATGCCGTCACAGCCATGCCATCACAGCCATGCCATCACAGCCATGCCATCACAGCCATGCCATCACATCCATGCCATCACATCCATGCCATCACATCCATGCCATCACATCCATGCCATCACAGCCATGCCATCACAGCCATGCCATCACAGCCATGCCATCACAGCCATGCCATCACAGCCATGCCATCACAGCCATGCCATCACAGCCATGCCATCACAGCCATGCCATCACAGCCATGCCATCACAGCCATGCCATCACAGCCATGCCATCACAGCCATGCCATCACAGCCATGCCATCACAGCCATGCCATCACAGCCATGCCATCACAGCCATGCCATCACAGCCATGCCATCACAGCCATGCCATCACAGCCATGCCATCACAGCCATGCCATCACAGCCATGCCATCACAGCCATGCCATCACAGCCATGCCATCACAGCCATGCCATCACAGCCATGCCATCACAGCCATGCCATCACAGCCATGCCATCACAGCCATGCCATCACAGCCATGCCATCACAGCCATGCCATCACAGCCATGCCATCACAGCCATGCCATCACATCCATGCCATCACATCCATGCCATCACATCCATGCCATCACATCCATGCCATCACATCCATGCCATCACATCCATGCCATCACATCCATGCCATCACAGCCATGCCATCACAGCCATGCCATCACAGCCATGCCATCACATCGTCACAGCCATGCCGTCACATCCATGCCGTCACATCCATGCCGTCACATCCATGCCATCACATCCATGCCATCACATCCATGCCATCACATCCATGAGGTCACATCCATGCCGTCACATCCATGCCATCACATCCATGCCGTCACAGCCATGCCGTCACATCCATGCCGTCACATCCATGCCTTCACATCCATGGCATCACATCCATGCCATCACATCCATGCCATCACATCCATGCCATCACATCCATGCCATCACATCCATGCCATCACATCCATGCCATCACATCCATGCCATCACATCCATGCCATCACATCCATGCCATCACATCCATGCCATCACATCCATGCCATCACATCCATGCCATCACATCCATGCCATCACATCCATGCCATCACATCCATGCCGTCACAGCCATGCCGTCACATCCATGCCGTCACATCCATGCCATCACACCCATGCCATCACATCCATGCCGTCACATCCATGCCGTCACATCCATGCCATCACATCCATGCCATCACATCCATGCCATCACATCCATGCCATCACATCCATGCCATCACATCCATGCCATCACATCCATGCCATCACATCCATGCCATCACATCCATGCCATCACATCCATGCCATCACATCCATGCCATCACATCCATGCCATCACATCCATGCCATCACATCCATGCCATCACATCCATGCCATCACATCCATGCCATCACATCCATGCCATCACATCCATGCCATCACATCCATGCCATCACATCCATGCCATCACATCCATGACGTCACATCCATGCCATCACATCCATGCCATCACATCCATGCCATCACATCCATACCGTCACATCCATGCCGTCACATCCATGCCATCACATCCATGCCATCACATCCATGCCATCACATCCATGCCATCACATCCATGCCATCACATCCATGCCATCACATCCATGCCATCACATCCATGCCATCACATCCATGCCATCACATCCATGCCATCACATCCATGCCATCACATCCATGCCATCACATCCATGCCATCACATCCATGCCATCACATCCATGCCATCACATCCATGCCATCACAGCCATGCCATCACAGCCATGCCATCACAGCCAGGCAATCACAGCCACGCCATCACATCCACGCCATCACATCCACGCCATCACATCCACGCCATCACATCCACGCCATCACATCCACGCCGTCACATCCACGCCGTCACATCCATGCCGTCACATCCATGCCGTCACATCCATGCCGTCACATCCATGCCGTCACATCCATGCCGTCACATCCATGCCGTCACATCCATGCCGTCACATCCATGCCGTCACATCCATGCCGTCACAGCCATGCCGTCACAGCCATGCCATCACAGCCATGCCATCACAGCCATGCCATCACAGCCATGCCATCACAGCCATGCCATCACAGCCATGCCATCACATCCATGCCATCACATCCATGCCATCACATCCATGCCATCACATCCATGCCATCACAGCCATGCCATCACAGCCATGCCATCACAGCCATGCCATCACAGCCATGCCATCACAGCCATGCCATCACAGCCATGCCATCACAGCCATGCCATCACAGCCATGCCATCACAGCCATGCCATCACAGCCATGCCATCACAGCCATGCCATCACAGCCATGCCATCACAGCCATGCCATCACAGCCATGCCATCACAGCCATGCCATCACAGCCATGCCATCACAGCCATGCCATCACAGCCATGCCATCACAGCCATGCCATCACAGCCATGCCATCACAGCCATGCCATCACAGCCATGCCATCACAGCCATGCCATCACAGCCATGCCATCACAGCCATGCCATCACAGCCATGCCATCACAGCCATGCCATCACAGCCATGCCATCACAGCCATGCCATCACAGCCATGCCATCACAGCCATGCCGTCACATCCATGCCGTCACAGCCATGCCGTCACAGCCATGCCGTCACATCCATGCCGTCACATCCATGCCGTCACATCCATGCCGTCACATCCATGCCATCACATCCATGCCATCACATCCATGCCATCACATCCATGCCATCACATCCATGCCATCACATCCATGCCATCACATCCATGCCATCACATCCATGCCATCACATCCATGCCATCACATCCATGCCATCACATCCATGCCATCACATCCATGCCATCACATCGTCACAGCCATGCCGTCACATCCATGCCGTCACATCCATGCCGTCACATCCATGCCATCACATCCATGCCATCACATCCATGCCATCACATCCATGAGGTCACATCCATGCCGTCACATCCATGCCATCACATCCATGCCGTCACAGCCATGCCGTCACATCCATGCCGTCACATCCATGCCATCACATCCATGCCATCACATCCATGCCATCACATCCATGCCATCACATCCATGCCATCACATCCATGCCATCACATCCATGCCATCACATCCATGCCGTCACAGCCATGCCGTCACATCCATGCCATCACATCCATGCCATCACATCCATGCCATCACATCCATGCCATCACATCCATGCCATCACATCCATGCCATCACATCCATGCCATCACATCCATGCCGTCACAGCCATGCCGTCACATCCATGCCATCACATCCATGCCATCACATCCATGCCATCACATCCATGCCATCACATCCATGCCATCACATCCATGCCATCACATCCATGCCATCACATCCATGCCATCACATCCATGCCATCACATCCATGCCATCACATCCATGCCATCACATCCATGCCATCACATCCATGCCATCACATCCATGCCATCACATCCATGCCATCACATCCATGCCATCACATCCATGCCATCACATCCATGCCATCACATCCATGCCATCACATCCATGCCATCACATCCATGCCATCACATCCATGCCATCACATCCATGCCATCACATCCATGCCATCACATCCATGCCATCACATCCATGACGTCACATCCATGCCATCACATCCATGCCATCACATCCATGCCATCACATCCATGCCATCACATCCATGCCATCACATCCATGCCATCACATCCATGCCATCACATCCATGCCATCACATCCATGACGTCACATCCATGCCATCACATCCATGCCATCACATCCATGCCATCACATCCATGCCATCACATCCATGCCATCACATCCATGCCATCACATCCATGCCATCACATCCATGCCGTCACAGCCATGCCGTCACATCCATGCCATCACATCCATGCCATCACATCCATGCCATCACATCCATGCCATCACATCCATGCCATCACATCCATGCCATCACATCCATGCCATCACATCCATGCCATCACATCCATGCCATCACATCCATGCCATCACATCCATGCCATCACATCCATGCCATCACATCCATGCCATCACATCCATGCCATCACATCCATGCCATCACATCCATGCCATCACATCCATGCCATCACATCCATGCCATCACATCCATGCCATCACATCCATGCCATCACATCCATGCCATCACATCCATGCCATCACATCCATGCCATCACATCCATGCCATCACATCCATGCCATCACATCCATGCCATCACATCCATGCCATCACATCCATGCCATCACATCCATGCCATCACATCCATGCCATCACATCCATGCCATCACATCCATGCCATCACATCCATGCCATCACATCCATGCCATCACATCCATGCCATCACATCCATGCCATCACATCCATGCCATCACATCCATGCCATCACATCCATGCCATCACATCCATGCCATCACATCCATGCCATCACATCCATGCCATCACATCCATGCCATCACATCCATGCCATCACATCCATGCCATCACATCCATGCCATCACATCCATGCCATCACATCCATGCCATCACATCCATTCCGTCACATCCATGCCATCACATCCATGCCATCACATCCATGCCATCACATCCATGCCATCACATCCATGCCATCACATCCATGCCATCACATCCATGCCATCACATCCATGCCATCACATCCATGCCATCACATCCATGCCATCACATCCATGCCATCACATCCATGCCATCACATCCATGCCATCACATCCATGCCATCACATCCATGCCATCACATCCATGCCATCACAGCCATGGCATCACAGCCATGGCATCACAGCCATTGCATCACAGGCATGCCGTCACCCACCAGGCGTGGCAGGGCATCCACGAGGCTGATGGCGCGCTCCAGCCACGGCACGGCCTCGGCATCGCTGGCCGTCCCACCGCTGCCTGCCTGCTCCTCACTCGCCGCTGCCCTCTCCACCTCGCCCGCTCGCCCTGCTGCCTCGCTGCTTGCCGCTGGCCGCCGGATGGCGATGGCCGTGGCGGCGGGTGCAGCGGGGCGGGCGGGAGGTGCGGCAGCGGCGGTGAGAGCGGCGTGGCGGTGGTCGTGCAGCAGCAGCTGGCGGATGGCGCTCTGCACGGCACTGCGGGGGCGAGGGGGGTGAGCAGCATGGTGAGCAGCATGGTGAGCAGCATGGTGAATGAGAGGAAAGAGAGGCTCCCACCCCTCGTGGCGAATGGGGGTTCGCACAGGAGAAGATGATTGGCACGTGGCAGGGCCACACGAGAAGATGATTGGCACGTGGCAGGGCCACAGGCAAGCGCATGAGCGCCTGCATGGTGTAAAGCGTACTGGCGCGTGTCAACCCAGCCACATTATTCTTACCTACCCTTCCCCCTCACTCACCCTGCTCCCCCACCCTGCTCCCCCACCCTGCTCCCCCACCATGCCTCCCCCACCCTGCCTCCCCCACCATGCCTCCTCACCGTGGTTTCACCCGAATGCCTGAGGCTGCCAGGTCAGCAACCAATCCCGAAACGCCACCCGAATCAGCCTGGTTGGTGACCTTCTCTGCCACTGCCTCCTCCCATGGGCTACTGCCACCCGCCTGGCCGTCCATGCGCTCCACCTCCCCGCATTCACTCCCCTTCCCCGCGCCTCTCTCCCTCTCCACCCTGTCACTGTCACTGCCGCCACTGCCGTGCCCTCCACGCGCCACGCCCCTCCCCTCGCCTCCGCCCATGCTGCTGCCACTGCTGCTGCCAGTGCTGCTGCAGGTGGCGTGTGGCGGCGCTGCAGAGGAGGCGCGCGCAATGTCCTGTGGGAGGGGCGGCGAGGCAGCACACACTTGGCGGTGCACGCAGCATCACTCCATACACACACTCCATACACACACTCCATGCACACACTCCATACACACACTCCATGCACACACTCCATACACACACTCCATGCACACACTCCATACACACACTCCATGCACACACTCCATACACACACTCCATGCACACACTCCATACACACACTCCATGCACACACTCCATACACACACTCCATGCACACACTCCATACACACACTCCATGCACACACTCCATACACACACTCCATGCACACACTCCATACACACACTCCATGCACACACTCCATACACACACTCCATGCACACACTCCATACACACACTCCATGCACACACTCCATACACACACTCCATGCACACACTCCATACACACACTCCATACACACACTCCATGCACACACTCCATGCACACACTCCATACACACACTCCATGCACACACTCCATACACACACTCCATGCACACACTCCATACACACACTCCATGCACACACTCCATACACACACTCCATGCACACACTCCATCCACACACTCCATGCACACACTTCATACACACACTCCATGCACACACTCCATGCACACACTCCATACACACACTCCATGCACACACTCCATACACACACTCCATGCACACACTTCATACACACACTCCATACACACACTCCATGCACACACTCCATGCACACACTCCATGCACACACTCCATGCACACACTCCATACACACACTCCATGCACACACTCCATACACACACTCCATACACACACTCCATGCACACACTCCATGCACACACTCCATACACACACTCCATACACACACTCCATACACACACTTCATACACACACTCCATGCACACACTCCATACACACACTCCATGCACACACTCCATGCACACACTCCATGCACACACTCCATACACACACTCCATGCACACACTCCATACACACACTCCATGCACACACTTCATACACACACTCCATACACACACTCCATACACACACTCCATGCACACACTCCATACACACACTCCATGCACACACTCCATACACACACTCCATGCACACACTCCATACACACACTCCATACACACACTCCATGCACACACTCCATACACACACTCCATGCACACACTCCATACACACACTCCATGCACACACTCCATACACACACTCCATGCACACACTCCATACACACACTCCATGCACACACTCCATACACACACTCCATGCACACACTTCATGCACACACTCCATGCACACACTCCATGCACACACTCCATACACACACTCCATGCACACACTCCATACACACACTCCATGCACACACTTCATACACACACTCCATACACACACTCCATGCACACACTCCATGCACACACTCCATACACACACTCCATGCACACACTCCATACACACACTCCATGCACACACTCCATACACACACTCCATGCACACACTCCATGCACACACTCCATGCACACACTCCATACACACACTCCATACACACACTCCATGCACACACTTCATACACACACTCCATACACACACTCCATACACACACTCCATACACACACTCCATGCACACACTCCATGCACACACTCCATGCACACACTCCATACACACACTCCATGCACACACTCCATACACACACTCCATGCACACACTCCATACACACACTCCATGCACACACTCCATACACACACTCCATGCACACACTCCATACACACACTCCATGCACACACTCCATACACACACTCCATACACACACTCCATGCACACACTCCATGCACACACTCCATACACACACTCCATGCACACACTCCATACACACACTCCATGCACACACTCCATACACACACTCCATGCACACACTCCATACACACACTCCATGCACACACTCCATACACACACTCCATGCACACACTCCATACACACACTCCATACACACTCCATGCACACACTCCATACACACACTCCATGCACACACTCCATACACACACTCCATGCACACACTCCATACACACACTCCATGCACACACTTCATACACACACTCCATGCACACACTCCATACACACACTCCATGCACACACTCCATACACACACTCCATGCACACACTCCATACACACACTCCATGCACACACTCCATACACACACTCCATGCACACACTCCATACACACACTCCATCCACACACTCCATGCACACACTTCATACACACACTCCATGCACACACTCCATGCACACACTCCATACACACACTCCATGCACACACTCCATACACACACTCCATGCACACACTTCATACACACACTCCATACACACACTCCATGCACACACTCCATGCACACACTCCATGCACACACTCCATGCACACACTCCATACACACACTCCATGCACACACTCCATACACACACTCCATGCACACACTCCATGCACACACTCCATGCACACACTCCATACACACACTCCATACACACACTCCATGCACACACTTCATACACACACTCCATACACACACTCCATACACACACTCCATACACACACTCCATGCACACACTCCATGCACACACTCCATGCACACACTCCATACACACACTCCATGCACACACTCCATACACACACTCCATGCACACACTTCATACACACACTCCATACACACACTCCATGCACACACTCCATGCACACACTCCATACACACACTCCATACACACACTCCATGCACACACTCCATACACACACTCCATGCACACACTCCATACACACACTCCATGCACACACTCCATACACACACTCCATACACACACTCCATGCACACACTCCATACACACACTCCATGCACACACTCCATACACACACTCCATGCACACACTCCATACACACACTCCATGCACACACTCCATACACACACTCCATGCACACACTCCATACACACACTCCATGCACACACTTCATGCACACACTCCATGCACACACTCCATGCACACACTCCATACACACACTCCATGCACACACTCCATACACACACTCCATGCACACACTTCATACACACACTCCATACACACACTCCATGCACACACTCCATGCACACACTCCATACACACACTCCATGCACACACTCCATACACACACTCCATGCACACACTCCATACACACACTCCATGCACACACTCCATGCACACACTCCATGCACACACTCCATACACACACTCCATACACACACTCCATGCACACACTTCATACACACACTCCATACACACACTCCATGCACACACTCCATGCACACACTCCATGCACACACTCCATACACACACTCCATGCACACACTCCATACACACACTCCATGCACACACTTCATACACACACTCCATACACACACTCCATGCACACACTCCATACACACACTCCATGCACACACTTCATACACACACTCCATGCACACACTCCATGCACACACTCCATACACACACTCCATACACACACTCCATGCACACACTCCATGCACACACTCCATACACACACTCCATGCACACACTCCATACACACACTCCATGCACACACTCCATACACACACTCCATACACACACTCCATGCACACACTTCATACACACTTCATACACACACTCCATGCACACACTCCATGCACACACTCCATACACACACTCCATACACACACTCCATGCACACACTCCATGCACACACTCCATACACACACTCCATGCACACACTCCATACACACACTCCATGCACACACTTCATACACACACTCCATACACACACTCCATGCACACACTCCATGCACACACTCCATACACACACTCCATACACACACTCCATGCACACACTCCATGCACACACTCCATACACACACTCCATGCACACACTCCATACACACACTCCATGCACACACTCCATACACAGACTCCATACACACACTCCATGCACACACTTCATACACACACTTCATACACACACTCCATGCACACACTCCATGCACACACTCCATACACACACTCCATACACACACTCCATGCACACACTCCATGCACACACTCCATACACACACTCCATGCACACACTCCATACACACACTCCATGCACACACTCCATACACACACTCCATGCACACACTCCATACACACACTCCATACACACACTCCATGCACACACTCCATGCACACACTCCATACACACACTCCATGCACACACTCCATACACACACTCCATACACACACTCCATGCACACACTCCATGCACACACTCCATACACACACTCCATGCACACACTCCATACACACACTCCATGCACACACTCCATACACACACTCCATGCACACACTCCATACACACACTCCATACACACTCCATGCACACACTCCATACACACACTCCATGCACACACTCCATACACACACTCCATGCACACACTCCATACACACACTCCATGCACACACTTCATACACACACTCCATACACACACTCCATACACACACTCCATACACACACTCCATGCACACACTCCATGCACACACTCCATGCACACACTCCATACACACACTCCATGCACACACTCCATACACACACTCCATGCACACACTTCATACACACACTCCATACACACACTCCATGCACACACTCCATACACACACTCCATGCACACACTTCATACACACACTCCATGCACACACTCCATGCACACACTCCATACACACACTCCATACACACACTCCATGCACACACTCCATGCACACACTCCATACACACACTCCATGCACACACTCCATACACACACTCCATGCACACACTCCATACACACACTCCATACACACACTCCATGCACACACTTCATACACACTTCATACACACACTCCATGCACACACTCCATGCACACACTCCATACACACACTCCATACACACACTCCATGCACACACTCCATGCACACACTCCATACACACACTCCATGCACACACTCCATACACACACTCCATGCACACACTCCATACACACACTCCATGCACACACTCCATACACACACTCCATACACACACTCCATGCACACACTGCATACACACACTCCATACACACACTCCATGCACACACTCCATGCACACACTCCATGCACACACTGCATACACACACTGCACAGCAGCACAGCAACAGCACGCTGACAGGTGGAGGAGACAGTGGCAGGGAACCCACGCACGAACAACACACAACCTCATCTCAGCCAGCGCGTGGGTGAGGGCACACCTGAGCCAGCGCGTGGGTGAGGGCGGCATCTATGGCTTCCAAAAACGTGAACTCCGAGGAAGCTTCCTCACTGCTGCTCAAATCGCCCTCACTTCTGTTCATGTTGTCATTGCTGCTGCTGCTGCTGCTGCTGCTGCGCGGGCTGGGCTGGACACAGTGCTTCGAAGCCGTGCTGGAGGCGTCAACGCTGTGGCCATGCGCTACTGGCCCTGTCACTCCATTCCACGCCTGCCCACGTGCTTGCCCATCTCCAACCCCCGCCGATCGCGATGCTCCTTCCAACGCCTTCCCTTTCTCTCCCCAACCCCCCTGTGCCGGGGCCATGGCTTCCCCCTGTGCCGGGGGCATGGCTTCCCCCTGTGCCGGGGGCATGGCTTCGCCCTGTGCCGGGGGCATGGCTTCCCCCTGTGCCGGGGGCATGGCTTCCCCCTGTGCCGGGGGCATGGCTTCCCCCTGTGCCGGGGGCATGGCTTCCCCCTGAGCCGGGGGCATGGCTTCCCCCTGTGCCGGGGGCATGGCTTCCCCCTGTGCCGGGGGCATGGCTTCCCCCTGTGCCGGGGGCATGGCTTCCCCCTGTGCCGGGGGCATGGCTTCCCCCTGTGCCGGGGGCATGGCTTCCCCCTGAGCCGGGGGCATGGCTTCCCCCTGTGCCGGGGGCATGGCTTCCCCCTGTGCCGGGGGCATGGCTTCCCCCTGTGCCGGGGGCATGGCTTCCCCCTGTGCCGGGGGCATGGCTTCCCCCTGTGCCGGGGGCATGGCTTCCCCCTGTGCCGGGGGCATGGCTTCCCCCTGTGCCGGGGGCATGGCTTCCCCCTGTGCTGCGCGCCAAGCACCGTGCGAGGCCCCCTGGAGGCCACCCTGCGGGGCAGGCCGGGTATCATCCTCGTGGGCAGGTTGGGTGGCATGGACGGCAGGCAGAGTGGCATGGACGGCAGGCAGAGTGGCATGGGCGGCAGGGGGGGCGGCATGTGCGGCAGAAAGGGCGGCAGGGAGGGCGGCAGGGAGGGCGGCAGGGGGGAAGGCAGGGAGGGCGGCAGGGAGGGCGGGATGGGCGGCCTCCATGAGGCGGTGCAGGTGCAGGGCGGTGGTGCCGTGGCCACTGCGCACGTGCACTGCAATGGCCACCTCGTACAGCTCCCTGCACACACACAGGCCAGAGCCAGGGGGTGAATGCCACAGACCGTGATGGCACCTCATGTATCCTGTTCCCTCATGCCCTCCCCACCCATGCACTCCCCGCCCATGCCCTCCCCACCCATGCACTCCCCGCCCATGCACTCCTAATTTAGGAGTCCTAAACCCTACACTTCACCTCCCGCCTCACCTCCCGCCTCACCTGCTCACAGGGCAGCCGTCAGCCTCCACGGCGGCCAGCAGGCGCTGGGCTGCGAGTGCAGCCTGCAGGCATGTGGAGAGACCGGCACGGGGGTGCAGGGGCAAGGGGGTGCACGGGCAAGGGGGCGCACGGGCAAGGGGGTGCACGGGGCGAGAAGTTGAAGAGGAATATGTGAAGAGAATACATGCTGGCATGGCTGTGTGCGCGGCATGGCTGTGTGTGCGGCACGGCTGTGTGTGCGGCATGGCTGTGTGTGCGGCATGGCTGTGTGTGCGGCATGGCTGTGTGTGCGGCATGGCTGTGTGTGCGGCATGGCTGTGTGTGCGGCATGGCTGTGTGTGCGGCATGGCTGTGTGTGCGGCATGGCTGTGTGTGCGGCATGGCTGTGTGTGCGGCATGGCTGTGTGTGCGGCATGGCTGTGTGTGCGGCATGGCTGTGTGTGCAGCATGGCTGTGTGTGCGGCATGGCTGTGTGTGCGGCATGGCTGTGTGTGCGGCATGGCTGTGTGTGCGGCATGGCTGTGTGTGCGGCATGGCTGTGTGTGCGGCATGGCTGTGTGTGCAGCATGGCTGTGTGTGCAGCATGGCTGTGTGTGCGGCATGGCTGTGTGTGCGGCATGGCTGTGTGTGCGGCATGGCTGTGTGTGCGGCATGGCTGTGTGTGCGGCATGGCTGTGTGTGCGGCATGGCTGTGTGTGCGGCATGGCTGTGTGTGCGGCATGGCTGTGTGTGCGGCATGGCTGTGTGTGTGGCATGGCTGTGTGTGCGGCATGGCTGTGTGTGCGGCATGGCTGTGTGTGTGGGATGCCATGAGGGTTGAGAAGCCATGAGGGTTGAGAAGCCATGAGGGTTGAGAAGCCATGAGGGTTGAGAAGCCATGAGGGTTGAGAAGCCATGAGGGTTGAGAAGCCTTACCTGGTGGGGGTTGCGGTGGGACATGTGCCACACAGCCTGCCCTATTGCATCCCACGTGGCGTCTCCCAGTTGGCCCACCCCAGCTGCTGCCAGCTCGTGGGCGGCATCTGTTAGACATGCACGGACCAGCAGGGAGGGGCGCACATGGGTTGTTGTTGGGCGCGCATGGGGTGGTGGGGACGAGCATGGGGTGGTGGGGACGAGCATGGGGTGGTGGGGACGAGCATGGGGTGGTGGGGACGAGCATGGGGTGGTGGGGACGAGCATGGGGTGGTGGGGGCGCGCATGGGGTGGTGGGGGCGCGCATGGGGTGGTGGGGGCGCGCATGGGGTGGTGGGGGCGCGCATGGGGTGGTGGGGGCGCGCATGGGGTGGTGGGGGCGCGCATGGGGTGGTGGGGACGAGCAGGTGGCAGAGGGAGTGGGTGCTGTAAGGGAGGGCGTTTTACCGAGCGCGTGTGCGGGTGAGTGCGAGGAGGCGAGGAGCTGCACGAGGTGCGCCGATGTGGACGCGGTGGGGGTGAGCCCTGGGCGGTTGATTGACACACAGACACGAGGAGAGTGGTGGAGAGATGGGTTAGACCGGGAGGACACGGGATGAACTAGGAGGTGGATGAGAAGGGTGGTGCGATGGAAAGGAGGAAGGCAGGATGACGAGCATTCCACACAGTGCTGGCTCGTTGTGAGGCAACGACACGGTATGCTTAGAAAGAAGCCTGCTGGAATGGTGGGAGCAAAGAGGCGAGAGAAACATTGGAATGCGAATGTAGAAATGAGCAACAATCTGGGATAAAGGCCCAATTAAAGCTAGAGCACAACGGGCATGGACGATCTCCATCAAATCAACCTCAACTGATAATCAAGTAAAACCTTTTCTAAAGGGTGTGGAAAAAAAACCACACAATGCCAGCCATTGTATAAAATGCACGACGGGCATGGACGACGGACAATGCACGACGGGCATGGACGACGGACAATGCACGACGGGCATGGACGACGGACAATGCACGACGGGCATGGACTCTGCGTCCAGACGCAGGACACACGCGTAGACGCAGGACGCTCCACGGATTTTTTTTGGGCTGCCCGAAAAAAAATCGACCCGCGAAATCGCCATTCGTGATTTTGACGCCAATGTTAGATCCGCGAAAGCGTAATTCCATGGGAGCGAGGTCGTCAAACAAAATCGCAAAAGAATGGGAGCAATTTCGTTAATTTGGCAAAGCATGTTGTAATTTCATATTTCATACAACATACATAGGCTAGAAATAGATCTGTAGCACATTTATAACTTGGGGGTTGTTTAGTGTACCCTCCAACCACATTTTGTGGTTGGTTGGGATTGGTCCCTAGCTCAACCAATCCCAACCAACACACATTTGTGGTTGCTTGGGCCACAAGCAAGCTCACCCATTGGCCAACTTATTGGCCAATAGGGTAAGCTTCCCTCTCATCTCTCTCTTGCTCATTGTTTGTACTAAAGGGCCTCTTGGCTCATTATTCAATGTATCAATTCTAGCTTTTCAACAAAGCGAAATCGCTAGCAACAACTTTTCCCCCAACCACCACACATTACCGCACTGCATCTCCCCCCCCCAACCTTGTCGACCTGAATCCCATCTAAGAAGAGAATCAGGTCGACATTCAGAGCTTTCTCTCCTAGTCGACCTGATTCTCTTTTGGAAACCCTAAATCTCGGCATGTGTGTGGAAATGTGGTGCTTAGGGAAGGTTTTAAGGATAATCCATGTTAAATGTGGTTGCAATGTCCCGAAACCCCCTCCCCCCCCCTCCTAGACGGGTTTTTTTGCCTGCCCGGGCTTGCGTCTTTTTCAGCGTCTAACTAGCCAGCCCCAAGTGGGCATCTAGACGCAAGTGCCCAAGTGCCCAAGTGGGCAGCGTCTAGACGCAAGCGTCCAAGACGCTAGACGTGTATTTTGTCACATAGTTTGACAGTCAGCCCAAAGAATTATTTGGTGACCATTCTCATTGGTCCACCAATATTAGTGCCTTGGGTACTTCACCAATATTAGTGCCTTGGGTACTTCACCAATATTAGTGCCTTGGGTACTTCACCAATATTAGTGCCTTGGGTACTTCACCAATATTAGTGCCTTGGGTACTTCACCAATATTAGTGCCTTGGGTACTTCACCAATATTAGTGCCTTGGGTACTTCACCAATATTAGTGCCTTGGGTACTTCACCAATATTAGTGCCTTGGGTACTTCACCAATATTAGTGCCTTGGGTACTTCACCAATATTAGTGCCTTGGGTACTTCACCAATATTAGTGCCTTGGGTACTTCACCAATATTAGTGCCTTGGGTACTTCACCAATATTATTTGGTCATTGTCTCTTACTTGTACCCACGTTTTCCTTAAGCACATTAAGACTTGAGTCTCTAACAATCAGCACCCCTCTCACCAGCACTTTTCATCTCTCGCAAGAAATTCTTGAGATTGCCGTCAGGTGCTGCCCGCGTGCACTCGAGCAGCAAAGCGCCATCCACACTCTGGAGGGACACGGGGCCGGAGCGGGCAGAGGGGGCAGGTTGGCACACATGAGGGTGAGTCATTGAGAAAGGTGTGGCTAGGCTCAGTCAAATGAAGATAGAAACGAACAACAGAAGCGACACACATGGTAACAAAAAGCATTGAGACGGTTGACTGATTCTTTATTCCATTGTAGAACGTGTGGGACAGGGAGGAGCAAATGATGGAACCACGGTTAATTCAAGACAAACCAATTTGATTCGAACCGCGGTTCGCTGACCCAAGGGTTGTCTTCTTCTCTCACCCCAGGCGTGTAGCTCTATGTGGGCAGCAGTGCTGAGTGAACAACAATTGTTGGTCCTCGGGGTTTAGGCTGTCTCTCTCTACTGTACCCAACACTCAACCGTTCTTCCTGACGCTTCAGGTTTTATGACGTCGGGCACAGCGGGCACACCACACCTTGATGAGCACAGCGGGCACACCACACCTTGATGAGCACAGCGGGCACACCACACCTTGATGAGCACAGCGGGCACACCACACCTTGATGAGCACAGCGGGCACACCACACCTTGATGAGCACAGCGGGCACACCACACCTTGATGAGCACAGCGGGCACACCACACCTTGATGAGCACAGCGGGCACACCACACCTTGATGAGCACAGCGGGCACACCACACCTTGATGAGCACAGCGGGCACACCACACCTTGATGAGCACAGCGGGCACACCACACCTTGATGAGCACAGCGGGCACACCACACCTTGATGAGCACAGCGGGCACACCACACCTTGATGAGCACAGCGGGCACACCACACCTTGATGAGCACAGCGGGCACACCACACCTTGATGAGCACAGCGGGCACACCACACCTTGATGAGCACAGCGGGCACACCACACCTTGATGAGCACAGCGGGCACACCACACCTTGATGAGCACAGCGGGCACACCACACCTTGATGAGCACAGCGGGCACACCACACCTTGATGAGCACAGCGGGCACACCACACCTTGATGAGCACAGCGGGCACACCACACCTTGATGAGCACAGCGGGCACACCACACCTTGATGAGCACAGCGGGCACACCACACCTTGATGAGCACAGCGGGCACACCACACCTTGATGAGCACAGCGGGCACACCACACCTTGATGAGCACAGCGGGCACACCACACCTTGATGAGCACACCTTGATGAGCACGTCAGGGACGGTCATGGCGGGCGGGTGGCCGGCCGCCACCATCTCCTGCAGCACCTCCAGCGCGCGCCCGCCCTCGCCACAGCGCACCCACGCATACACCGCACTGCGGTACGTCTGATGGCGCGGGGGGGGAGAGGACGGGGGAGATCAAGGAAGAGGGGTGGCAGGTGAGGTGAGGTTGAGTGCGGTACCGGCAGGACATGGACCAACAATGCTGAAACGGTGGTGCCGGCAGAAGAGCAAATACTGGCTGAATCGCATGCATGGAAGGGATGTTGCATGCATGGAAGGGATGTTGCATGCATGGAAGGGATGTTGCATGCATGGAAGGGATGTTGCATGCATGGAAGGGATGTTGCATGCATGGAAGGGATGTTGCATGCATGGATGTTGCATGCATGGAAGGGATGTTGCATGCATGGAAGGGATGTTGCATGCATGGAAGGGATGTTGCATGCATGGAAGGGATGTTGCATGCATGGAAGGGATGTTGCATGCATGGAAGGGATGTTGCATGCATGGAAGGGATGTTGCATGCATGGAAGGGATGTTGCATGCATGGAAGGGATGTTGCATGCATGGAAGGGATGTTGCATGCATGGAAGGGATGTTGCATGCAAGGAGCGCATGGGAAGTGGGTGATAAGGGATGGCGGGGGTGGGGGCGGCTGACCACGGCATCATGCGGGCAGGCAGCGAGTGCCATGCGGTGCAGCGCTGCCTCCACCATGCCTGCCCGCCGCATGTGCCCCCCTGCTTGCTGCACGGGGGCCAGGGAGCGGGAGGGGAGGCGACAAGGGAAGGACTTTACTAGAGACGGACATATCTCAAGCCTTGCAGGAATACACGCCTTGCTTGCAGGAATACACGCCTTGCAGGAATACACGCCTTGCGGGAATACACGCCTTGCAGGAATACACGCCTTGCAGGAATACACGCCTTGCAGGAATACACGCCTTCACCCGCTGAGTGCTGGGCTCACAATGAGGAGGGCGAAGGTGGCGGCGGTGGGAGCCAGCCCGCGGCGCTGCGCCTCCCCCAGCAGGCGCACGGCTCGCTCCACCCGCCTCGCCCGCATGCACGCGTGCGCCGCCGCGTTGAAGCTGCGCATGCATGGCTGCAGGCCTGGGGGGAAAGATGAGGGGGGGCTGTAAGATTATAGCATGCATATGGCTAGTAGACCTAACAATGTTACACCCAAATCATGGGTGTACACATTGTGGAAGTCTCCCAACTTTTGGTTGGGTTCCCACAACCCACGGGACCATTATTGTTGGGGAGCCAAGCCAACATTGGAGGTTACCCCCTCCAATGTTTGGCTCCTCCAATAATTGGCTCAACCTCAATCATTGGGCTGGACCCCTGCCACATTGGTCAGCCAATAATGGTGGGGGGTAATCCTAACATTGGTCACTCACCTCATGCCCTATTTGTACTGCTCTTTGTTCTCAATATACCAAATCTTGATTTCATATCTAATCCCAACTATGGGATTCTTACATGCGGGAACACAATTCCTTAAGCAACCACATCTGCCCGGCATCCCTCTCAGCACCCACCTCTGCGTCTCATCCCTCTCACCTCTGCCTCTCATCCCCCTCAGCACCGCCACGGCCGCCTCCGCATTGCCACGCCCAGCATGGGCGCCAATCAGAATGTTGTGTGCTGACGTCAGCAACGTCCTGTTACTTGCGTGTGTGCCTCCCCTGGCCGCCGCCATCCGCTCGCTGTGCTGCCCTTCCGCCTCCGTGCCGTCCCTCTCCTCCCCCACTCCTGCCGCATGCAACCTTCTCCCTCGCCCTCGCCTCTTCATTCCCTCTTCTCCACTCCCCCTCCCACCACCACCATCCCCACCACTCTCCGCTCCCCCTACCATGCCTCCCACCTCCCCCACCTCCTCCCCTGCGCCCATCCTTGCACCCTCCCCCCTGTGTGCCCCCACAGCGCCAGCTGAGCCCAAACAATCCGGCGTGGCTGTGAGGGCAGCAGTGTGCAGCCTGGTGGCCTTGCGGCGTGCGTGCCCTCTCCACTTATGCCCGACGCTTCTCTCCATCTGCTGCACCACGCCCGCACACCTCTCCACCATGCCCGCCTGCCCGTACACTGCCACGCATGGTGGGCGGTGGGTGGTAACGAGCTATGCTGGAGTTAGCACTGGGGCAGCGCAGTGGGGGCACTGTGCACGGGGACGGGGGGAGTGAACGACAAGCACACACGCAGGGAGCTATAGCCAAGAAAAGGAATCTGGCTAAAATCAAATCTTTCACTTGCATACCATGCATGCAGCACGCACCATGCATACATGCAGCACGCACCATGCATACATGCAGCACGCACCATACATGCAGCACGCACCATACATGCAGCACGCACCATACATGCAGCACGCACCATGCATACATGCAGCACGCACCATGCATACATGCAGCACGCACCATGCATACATGCAGCACGCACCATGCATACATGCAGCACGCACCATGCATACATGCAGCACGCACCATGCATACATGCAGCACGCACCATACATGCAGCACGCACCATACATGCAGCACGCACCATACATGCAGCACGCACCATACATGCAGCACGCACCATACATGCAGCACGCACCATACATGCAGCACGCACCATACATGCAGCACGCACCATACATGCAGCACGCACCATACATGCAGCACGCACCATACATGCAGCACGCACCATACATGCAGCACGCACCATACATGCAGCACGCACCATACATGCAGCACGCACCATACATGCAGCACGCAACATGCATGCAGCACGCACCATGCATGCAGCACGCACCATGCATGCAGCACGCACCATGCCTGCAGCACGCACCATGCATACAGCACGCACCATACATGCAGCACGCATCATGCATGCAGCACGCACCATACATGCAGCACGCACCATGCATGCAGCACGCACCATGCATGCAGCACGCACCATGCATGCAGCACGCACCATGCATGCAGCACGCACCATACATGCAGCACGCACCATGCATGCAGCACGCACCATACATGCAGCACGCACCATACATGCAGCACGCACCATGCCTGCAGCACGCACCATACATGCAGCACGCACCATGCATGCAGCACGCACCATGCATGCAGCACGCACCATGCATGCAGCACGCATCATGCATGCAGCACGCACCATACATGCAGCACGCACCATGCATGCAGCACGCACCATACATGCAGCACGCACCATACATGCAGCACGCACCATGCATGCAGCACGCACCATGCATGCAGCACGCACCATGCATGCAGCACGCACCATGCATGCATGCAGCACGCACCATGCATGCATGCAGCACGCACCATGCATGCATGCAGCACGCACCATGCATGCAGCACGCACCATGCATGCAGCACGCACCATGCATGCAGCACGCACCATGCACGCAGCACGCACCATGCATGCAGCACGCACCATGCATGCAGCACGCACCATGCATGCAGCACGCACCATGCATGCAGCACGCACCATGCACGCAGCACGCGCCATGCGTGCGCCATGCACGCAGCACGCACCATGCACGCAGCACGCACCATGCATGCAGCACGCACCATGCATGCAGCACGCACCATGCATGCAGCACGCACCATGCATGCAGCACGCACCATGCATGCAGCACGCACCATACATGCAGCACGCACCATGCATGCAGCACGCACCATGCATGCAGCACGCACCATGCATGCAGCACGCACCATGCATGCAGCCCGCGCCATGCATGCAGCCCGCGCCATGCATGCAGCACGCACCATGCATGCAGCACGCACCATGCATGCAGCACGCACCATGCATGCAGCACGCACCATGCATGCAGCACGCACCATGCATGCAGCACGCACCATGCATGCAGCACGCACCATGCATGCAGCACGCACCATGCATGCAGCACGCACCATACATGCAGCACGCACCATGCATGCAGCACGCACCATACATGCATGCAGCACGCACCATGCATGCAGCACGCACCATGCATGCAGCACGCACCATGCATGCAGCACGCACCATACATGCAGCACGCACCATGCATGCAGCACGCACCATGCATACATGCAGCACGCACCATACATGCAGCACGCACCATACATGCAGCACGCACCATGCATGCAGCACGCACCATGCATGCAGCACGCACCATGCATGCAGCACGCACCATGCATACATGCAGCACGCACCATACATGCAGCACGCACCATACATGCAGCACGCACCATACATGCAGCACGCACCATACATGCAGCACGCACCATGCATGCAGCACGCACCATGCATGCAGCACGCACCATGCATGCAGCACGCACCATGCATACATGCAGCACGCACCATGCATACATGCAGCACGCACCATGCATACATGCAGCACGCACCATACATGCAGCACGCACCATACATGCAGCACGCACCATGCCTGCAGCACGCACCATACATGCAGCACGCACCATACATGCAGCACGCACCATGCATGCAGCACGCACCATACATGCAGCACGCACCATGCATGCAGCACGCACCATGCATGCAGCACGCACCATGCATGCAGCACGCACCATACATGCAGCACACACCATACATGCAGCACGCACCATGCATGCAGCACGCACCATGCATGCAGCACGCACCATACATGCAGCACGCACCATGCATGCATGCAGCACGCACCATGCATGCAGCACGCACCATACATGCAGCACGCACCATGCATGCAGCACGCGCCATGCATGCAGCACGCACCATGCATGCAGCACGCACCATGCATGCAGCACGCACCATGCATGCAGCACGCACCATGCATGCAGCACGCACCATGCATGCAGCACGCACCATGCATGCAGCACGCACCATGCATGCAGCACGCACCATGCATGCAGCACGCACCATGCATGCAGCACGCACCATGCATGCAGCACGCACCATGCATGCAGCACGCGCCATGCATGCAGCACGCGCCATGCATGCAGCACGCACCATGCATGCAGCACGCACCATGCATGCAGCACGCACCATGCATGCAGCACGCACCATGCATGCAGCACGCACCATACATGCATGCAGCACGCACCATACATGCATGCAGCACGCACCATGCATGCAGCACGCACCATGCATGCAGCACGCACCATGCATGCAGCACGCACCATGCATGCAGCACGCACCATGCATGCAGCACGCACTATACATGCAGCACGCACCATACATGCAGCACGCACCATGCATGCAGCACGCACCATGCATGCAGCACGCACCATGCATGCAGCACGCACCATGCATGCAGCACGCACCATGCATGCATGCAGCACGCACCATACATGCAGCACGCACCATACATGCAGCACGCACCATACATGCAGCACGCACCATACATGCAGCACGCACCATGCATGCAGCACGCACCATGCATACATGCAGCACGCACCATGCATACATGCAGCACGCACCATACATGCAGCACGCACCATACATGCAGCACGCACCATGGGCGAGGGCACAGAAGGCGAAGGGCGAGGGGGCGATGTGGGCGGCCGTCATGTGGCGCCACAGTGCCTCCGCTGCCACCACGTCCCCCGCCCGGCCCATGCACGCCATCGCCACACTGCGCGGGGGGGGTGAGTGGGGTTTGTGGTGGCATGAATGGATGGTGAGGAGACGGCACGAGCTAATTGTCCAGCCGCTTCACCCAGGCGAACCAGTGCATCGTGACATGGGAAGGGTGACATGGGAAGGGTGACATGGGAAGGGTGACATGGGAAGGGTGACATGCTGTGAGTTCCATACCCACAATGACATGGCATGGTTCAGCGCACCTGAAGGTCCTCTCGGTGGGCGGCACGTGGCAGCGCGCCATGGCGGCCAGCAGCGCCGTGACGGCGTGTGCATGGCGCTCGCCCTCCATCACCACGTGGAACACCGCCGCGTCCGGTGCCGAGCCCCTCCGCTCCATCTCCTGCCCAGCCCGGGGCATAGTGCGTGGGAGGGCGTGGGAGGAGGGCGGGCATGGGAAGGGGGGAGGGCTGGCTGTGTGAGGGGAAGGGGCGTGGGAGTATGGGCGGGTAAAAGGCACGGGAGGGGGAAGATATGGGAGGCGGAAGGCATGGGGCATGGGGCATGGGGCATGGGGCATGGGGCATGGGGCATGGGGTGATGATCTGATCTGATCACACACACTGCTGCGTGCACAGTGGCGGGCATGGCTGACCTGCAGCAGTGGCGGGCATGGCTGACCTGCAGCAGTGGCGGGCATGGCTGACCTGCAGCAGCGCATAGGCGTGTCGGCGCTGCCCCGCCTGGCAGTAGCCGCGCGCCATGACTGTGAGCACCCGGCAGTTGGGCGCCGCTGCCCCCCCCGCCGCCCGCGCCAGGCGCACGAGGTGCTCTGCCCGTGCCATGTCACCCGCGCCCACACACACCTGCACCCCCGCATGGCAGGGTGGGGGGGTGCCATGGACCTTGTGGGGCATGTGAGGCATGTGAGGCATGTGAGGCATGTGGGGCAAGCGGGGTATGCGATGCAGGAATGAGGGGTGAGAGCCCCTCCAGCCCTGAACCACCACTCCACTCCATTCACTCTCATGCCCGCCCCTGCCACCTCACGAGGTCCACACACACACACACACACACACACACACACACACACACTCACACACACACACACACACACACACATACACACACACAAACTCTCTCTCACACAGACACACAGGAACACCCACACTCGAACACAAACTCACGCATTCACACACATGCACGCACACACACACACACTCACTCACTCACTCACACACACACACACACTCACTCACTCACTCTCACACACACACACACACACACACACACACACACCTGCACAGCAGCCGTCACGTGCCGCACATTCACCTCCACTCCCATCCATTCTCCCTCTTCCGCTCCCTCAACCTCCTCCTCCCCTTCCCCCTCCCCCTCTCCCCCTCCGCTTCCCTCTCCCCCGCCCTGTTGCTCGCCGTGCGCGCCGCCCATGCCCTCTACCGCCGACTCCGCCATCCTTCCCACCTCCCCCTCGCTGCTTGCCCATGCCGCCGCTCCCCCCGCTGATTGGTTCCGCCGCACGGCGCGCATCAGCGCGGGAGTCACCATCCGCGCAGCAGCGGCAGCGCGCTCTCTCGCCGTCGCCTGTCCGCCCAGCCTCGCCGCCATCAGCGCCTTCAGCAGCGCGCGCTCCCTCGCCCTGCGCTGCTCCCTGCGGCTCCGCGCGTTCGTCTCCCCATCGCCGGCCGCCACTCCATTTCCGCCTCGTTCTTTCCCTGCACGCTCCTCTCGCCCGCGCTCCTCTCGCCCGCGATCCCCCCGTCCGCGCTCCCCCACCTTGCGCTGCTCCCCCCTCCGGCGCTCATATCTCGGGTGCTCCACGACTCCGCCCTCCTCTCTTGCGCGCGCATTGCGCGTGGACGTGCTGGCGGGCAGCTTCAGCGGGGCAGCGGCGCCGAGGCCAGTAGGGGCGGCGCAGGACTGGGAGAGCGAGGCACGGGGAGCGAGCGGCGGGGGACGGACGGGCTTCGCGGAGCAGGGCGACGGCGCGAGCGGCGGAGCCCAGAAGGACGCGGCGATCATGGGGTGCGGGTCGGTGAGGCAAGGCGGCAATACTGGCCGATGGCGAGAGGGAGCGAGCAGTGCGCTGGGGGAACCTAGAACCGTGCGGAACGAACGAGTCGGTGGTGCGGATTGGGTGACACAATGCAACACAACACACTGGTGCCCAGTCGATGAGGTGAGCCCATGCATCTGGGCTGCCCAGTACATCCAATGCGGCTGTCTGATGTGGACGTGATCTGGCACTGCCTGAAGAAAGTCTCGTTTCTGTCCTTGACCAGGCGAGGCGCTAGGCACATACACATGATGCCCGTTTGAGCCACTCCCGGTTGCCTTGTGAAGGGCTTGTAAGCGGTACTGAAAATTCCGCAAAGGTTTCGTCAGTTCGCAGCTAGCAAAAAAGGATTCGTCAGGTGTTTCTAAAGGCTTACATAAAACTTTGTAACTCACCGTTGACATTTTGACTTCGGTCTCTTCAATCAAACTTCAGTTTCTATGGTTCGTATTGGCTAATGTCACTGCAACTTGCTCAAAGTGCTTGTGACCTAGGTGCAACTTCACGGCAAAAAAACCACGGGTGCAAGGTTTCCATCCGGTACGGGGCAAATTCGCGTGCAGGGGTTGGGCATCTTGTGTACCAATGCGATGCATTTGGCAAGGTGATGCATTCATCTGGCTGGCAATTGTTATTCGTTCTATCAAAGAAGAGTGTGCAGAATGCAATATCGCCGAAGTGATTACCCTGAGCTCCCGGTTAGAAGACCCGGGGGTCTTATCCTAAATGTGCTTGAAATGGGTTGTGGGGTCTTATTTAATGGCATATAGTGCATAAGACCCCTGAACATCTAATAATCACAGAAATTTGAAATGTAAGGAAGAGCGTTGAGGGAATTCATTTTTTTTTTTTTTCCAGCGAATTCGAGTTTGCCTGTAAGCGAGGAACCATATCGCAACTTTCGCGCACCACGCCCCAGGCCACACGTCACACATTGAAGCATGACGGCGGCAACACCTGACGGTGCTGGCGCAGCGCCCCTGCTCTTGATTGGTGTGTTGACCACAACACCATCACCCCATCAGATACGTTGCTTCTGTTGGGGTGATGGGTTCGTGAACGTTCCACCGTGAACATGTTTGATCTTAGAATTGAGGATAAAACTACCAAGTAACACCCATAAAAACATGATTTAGAGAAAAAAGAGGGTCTTATAATGATTTATGGTCCTTTCCAGGAATGACATAATGAAAGACCCCTGGTCTGGGTAGAAGACCCATCGGACTTGTACGCGGGGGGGTCTTCAAACCGGGAGCTCACGGTACAACTACTGAGCAAACAACGAGGTATAGGCATAATATAGCGAAGCTAGCTAGGCCGAGGTCGCGGAGTCGCGCGAAGGTTGGGTGCAGGTTTGGGGTTGGGAAACCCGAAGGCGACGCGGAGGACGTTCGGAGGGCGAGGTCGGCGGGCCGAGCCTGAATTCCGAAAAGTTGGAATTGTACGCGTATGGAGTGCCTCAGTAAAAAATTCGCAAAATTCCTTACACTCCCCCCCCCCCCCCCCCCCCCCCCCCCCCCCCCTTAAGAAAGGTGGTTAATATCAGGCGCGCGTCGGCGGGAAAGATAGTCCCGAAGTACCGAGTGGCTTTGTAGTGAGTCAGCCGGGACCCACGTGTCGTCTTCGCTTGAGCGATCCACCCAGCGTAGGAGGAAGTCGACGTGGCGGCCAGCCGGGGTCGCCCGAATGCGGTGATTTAAAATCTTCCAAGGCTGAAGTGTCGGATCTGCCACAGGCCGAACACTTGATGCCACGTTGGGTCGAGCGACGTCGGACGGCTGCGGAGCCACGTAGTGGCGAAGCAAAGTGACGTGCAAAGCATCATGGATCTTCTAGTCGTCCGGTAGGGGCAGTTTCGCTGTGACCGGGGTTAGCATCCGAATGATGCGGAAAGGTCCCACGTAGCGGGGACGCAGTTTTGCAGGTTGGGGCAGCTTGAGATTCTTCGTGTCCAGGAGGACCATCTGCCCGTCACGGAAGGGTAAATTCCGTCGATGTGGGTCGGCGTAGCGCCTGGCGGCAGTATTAGCCTTCCGTATAAACTCCGCCGCTTTGTCGCGTGCTGCTTGAAGTTCCGAGACGAACTACTGTGACCGTGGTACCGGATTTTTAGGAGTCGTGGAAGAGGGTGTGAAAGGTTAGAACGAGAATGGTGTGACTAACATCAATGGGAGTACAAATATGAAACCCTAGAGTTCTGTACCCCCTAAGGCTAAACCCACTGTAGCCTACAAAGCTACAACATGCATAATGTTTGACACACCCCCATAGGCAAAGTGGGGGAGAACAAGGGGTCACAAGACCAGTCAAGCAAAGCAAAGCAAAGCAAGCTCAGGGTGGATCTCAATGTCACCACACATTCTGAGCACAAGTTCAAGGCCACAAGGCCAGTTCACATGCAAGGTTACATATATATAACGCTAAACAAGCAAGGGCAGGTATATATATGTAACAGTACAAGCAAAGTCAAGAAGTAAGCAAGTGAGGCAAGGTAGGCACAAGACCTAACAGAGTACAGAAGCGCTGATGATCACAAGGCGCGAGTGCCTTGGTGAAGATATCAGCAGTGTTGGCCTTAGAGGCCACGTAAGCAAGGCGCAGCTGACCACGCTGCTGCAGCTCACGAGCAAGGAAGTAGCGGAGAGCGATGTGCTTCGTTCTGTGCTCCAGTCTGTGCTCCCGACACAAGGCCAGCATGGCCTTGTTGTCTACGTACAGCACTGGAGGAGAACGAGGCGGCTCTCCTAGGTCAGTCAGCAGGTAGGTGAGCCAGCGTAGCTCCTGTGCAGCCATGGCCCCTGCGTAGATCTCAGCCTCACAGCTCGAGCCGAGAACAGAAGACGAGCGGGTAGACCGCCACGAAACAGAGCCGGAACCAAGGCTGAAGGTGTAACCCTGTGACGACCGCTGCGTAGCCTGGTCGTCGGCCCAAGAAGCGTCTGAGTGACCAGTGAGGACCACTGGACTCTGCCCTCCAAGCACAAGCCCCATGCCCGACGTACTGCACAAGTAGCGCAACACCCTCTTCGCTGCAGCCATGTGCTCTGGTCTGTGTCTCCCAGGAGCAACATAGCGTGCAAGAATGCTAAGAGGGTATGCAAGGTCAGGTCGAGTGCAGGTCATCAGGTACATAAGGCAGCCCACAAGCTCTGGGTACGGGCCACTCGACTCTACGGACTCATCCGAAGGCAGAGCTGAGAGCGAGTGGCGTGTAGGCAGAGGAGTGGCCTGGGGCGAGGAGTACGTGAAGCCGAAGCGCTGAAGGACCTGCTGCACCATGTGTGACTGAGTCAGGGTAATGGTGCGCTGTGCTCTGTCCCGGGTGATCTGCAAGCCAAGGTAGCTGCGCAGTTCACCCAGGTCTGTGCACGTGTGTCTCTTCTGCAGCTCGGACTTCACGTAGGCGAGTCCAGCAGTGTCAGCTGTAGCAAAGACCAAGTCGTCGACGTACACGAGGATGTAGAACGGCGGCAAAGAAGTGTCGGTGCGCAGAAACAGCGACGGGTCGGCAGTAGAAGGAGCAAACCCAAGAGCCGCAAGTGTCATCCTCAGTGTGTCGTGCCACTCACGAGGCGCCTGGCGGAGACCGTAGACTGGCCGCCGGAGGCTCCACTGGGTGCCAGGAGGAAAAGTCCCAGTGAAGCCAGGTGGGCGGCGCAGCCAGATCTCCTCGTGCAGGCTACCCTGCAAGAAAGCAGTGCTGAAGTCAAGAGAGTGCAGCTCGTAGTCTCGGTAAGCGGCTATGTGCAGCAGTACCTGAAGAGTGGTCATCTTCGGGGTGGGAGAGAA